TAAAGACTCTTTTTTTTTGCTGGTATTTTGTCTTTCTTACTCCAAACTTTCTGCATGTCTCTCCTATGTATACGTGTACTTCGTTACAATCGTTACATGGGATGCTGTACAAAAATCCCGAGGAGTCTTTCATTGTGCGCTCATCTTTTGGATGCACTAAGGAACCACGTAGTTTTTGAGAAGGGCCTCGTCGTGGTGGCAATGTTGTACTTCTTGAGGACCCTCTGGAAGGCTTCTGATGTTCACTTGACATATGTGATGGCAGCCATGTCTTTCCGTCTAGTGTTACGGGTTGGTTCTGGTCCAGAGGTTGTTGGTTTCATGCCGGGGTTTCATGGCTGCTTCCGTTTTCTGAAGGCTCATTAATCCGGGTAGCCACACCTCTTAAGGCATGCTTCGATGTGATTGGTTTCTGTCTCTAGATCATCAGGATCTGTGATGATGCTTTGGGCTCTGTCCATGAGTGTGTGGAATACCCCGAGTTTTTGGTGCTGGGGGTGATGTGAGGTATGGGCTTTCTTACGGTAGACTAAGAGCTTCACACTACTATCCGGTTTCTTTGTGATGCGTTTGTCCAGAACTGGGATGGAATTGTGTTCTTCCATTTCCTGTGTGAACTTGATGCTCCCAGTTGTGTCCACTTGGTTGAGATGGTCCTTGTGTTCGTCTACAGATTCCGCTTTGATGAACGCAAATACGTCATCCACATACCGCTTCCATAATCTTGGCTTGATGTTTGGGGTGGCGATAGAAAGCACTCCAGCAAAGCATAGAGAGTGAATGCTAATGCGTATTGACCTCTAGCACTGCACTACGTGTTAATAGGCAGCATTTGCACACATGAATATTCAATACTCTCATTATACACAAATGCACACAATTATGCCGATGGGCTGATCGACAAGTATGGCAGTAGACTTACAATTCGAAATTTTAAATTATTGTTTCTAACATCGGTAAGTTGAAAAAAAACTACATAATACAGTGTTAAACTTGAATGAAGTAGGGGAGTTTGACGTGGTGCACAATTGCACCCCTCTGTAAATAATCGAATAGTCCATGGTGTGTCATGAATATTCATGTTTTTGCTTACCTCGGCAAAATGGTTGCCAATACTAAATGGACAAATTATGGTGGGGGGTTGGCTGAAATGGACATAATGAACCAATCAGAACTGATCTATGATAATTCATGCTTGTTATCCTTCGTGTGCTTGACCTATAACCTTACAATCGCGTGGCAAATTGCGTCCAAAGTTCGACTTGTTACACATGCGTTATATAGGCAATAGCGAGGTAGCGACCTATTTTGATCAAATTACGGTGGGAGAACTTTAAAAAGTCAGTGGGACATGAGGGTTCCAATGAAAAAACTAGTGTCAACGTACGTCGGGTTGGATGTGCTTTTCGGTTAAAAAAAAAAAGAATTTTTAACGATTTTGGGGGTAAAAGTCCATAGGCTAACATGTTAGGCTGCTGGACTCTGACGATAGGGGGCGTTGTCAAATGAGACTAATCGGAGCTATATGAGAGTCATATAATGCCTCGGTCACAAATGCCATTACGAACTGCTATTAACGCAATACGAACGATTTTCAGACAATGGAAATTCGGGAAGACAATGGAAAAACAGGGAGATTCGTACGAAATTATCGTTCGTACGAACATTTGTGACCGTAGCAAAACACACTATAAGAGAGAGAGAGAGAGAGAAAGAGAGAGGGGGGGGGGGGAGGAGGAATAGAAAGCTAACTAATTATAAGTGAAGAAAAGACAAAGACGATGAAAGTCTGCAGTTCTCTATACACTAATAAACTGTGACATAGATTCGAATATAATCATGGCTCAACAAGAATTTCGAGCATAAGTTTATATATCAACAAAATAATCACTCAATAAGTATGTAAATGACTATTCTTGGCATGAGTATTGGCCTAGAAGCATTCTTACACTGTTGGTCATAATGGTGGAATAATTATTTTTACCCCGACTTATGGAATGATTTTGACAATGATTTATTCCTTATAGATTTAGATAATAGCATACATTCTCAGATTTTATAGGATAATAATTTGCGAGTGTTTGTTTTGCGTGACTGCTAAAGCATGTCTATGCTACTTTGCTAATCAACTAGGGGACCCACGTTCTTAAGTCATAACTGACAGTAATGAGGATTAATGCCTCACAAAAGGGCAATAATAAAGCTGATTGACACGGTTTTGATCATGGGGCCTCACAGTAACGAGGCCAATTCTTAGCCACTGAATCATGTCTGTACGCAGCGGGGGCTAGGGTACGTCGCCGCCCCCACATATACAAAAAAAAGGAAGAAAATGCAATAAAATATCAATAATTCATTGCATTTTGCCCAGATCCCCATCATAAAAACGTCATTTATGTGGGCACGCCTTGAACTAAAATGCCTGGCCCTACAGAGGATTTTTTCCTGTTGGGGACCGGGGGAAAATGCAATGAATTTTTGATAGTTTATTGCATTTTCTTTGGTTTTTTGTAAATGTGGGGGCGGCGACGTACCCTAGCCCCCGCTGCGTACAGTCATGATTCAGTGGCTAAGAATTGGCCTCGTTACTATGAAGCCCCATGATCAAAACCGTGTCGATCAGCTAAATTAGTGCCTTTTGTGAGGCATTAATCTTCATTACTGTCAGATATTACTTAAGGACGTAGGTCCCCTAGTTAATAAGCAAAGTAGCATACACATGCTTTAGCAGTCATGCAAAGCAAACACTCGCAAATTATTATTCAATAAAATCTGAGAATGAATACTATTATTTAGATCTATTAGGAATAAATCATTGTCAAAATCATTCCATATGGGGTAAAAATAAGTATTCCACCTTTATGACCAACAGTGTATGTATTCCAATCGGCCTAATATCAGGATGGCTTGATACTTTCATTGGTGGACAAGAGGGGAATGATAGGTTTCCGTCTATATTATTTGCATACATTGGTGTAAAAAAAAACATAAGACATTTGGGCGGAGTTTGTGAAATGGCCCATTTGCACTTTGGTGGCATTTTCGTATGAGCCTGTACTGTTAATATAACTGACATCATGACCGAGATTTATATTGATTGTAACGTGAGCAATTTTTAAAAGAACAATCAGAACGACCTATAAAAGATTACGTAAGGTGATAATTAATCATTACGGCAATTAATAGATGATTATGACATGCACCAAGATAGACTCCTCCAAAATAAGCAGTTTAATACAAAAAACAAAAGACTTGTTAGTTTGTTTGACGCACATTCACTATTCATTGTTATCTAATGAGTAATAGTAGACCCATTTAAAAATTTCCGCCTAGCTGGACATTATATATATTATTAGGTTCAGTTTTTAATGGCGGTATGTGTGTACCAGTAGGGTGGGGCATGTTTAAATACCGAACTCTCCAGTGTACTTCCATACCACGTTAGATCCACGTAATTATAATTTAAAGTTGTTTTAACCGATAAAATCTGTTCCCTTGTCTGTTTTTTCCTGCAATAAAACATTTTAATTTACATGGAGTTTCGTATGATTTCTGTTGCTATTATATGGGTTTGAAATTGTATGGGTATTTTATCTTAAAGGTAAAGACCAGTATTGGAAACGCCCCAATTTCAAAAAATGAAATGGAAGCTCTCATTACCAATCATGTGAAAGAATATGTTTTGACTAATACATGATGATAAAAAAATTGCCGGGAAACCGCCTACTAATTCATATATTTGGTAAATTTGTTTCTCTCATGGTCTGTGAGAGATATAGGGTAGTCCCATATACATCTTTCTGTGTATAGTGCTTGTAACTTTACGAAGAATGGGCCAAATTTCTTATCATTTTGATGATTCCAGAACCTTGCAGATGCTAGATGCTAGATGATCAACCTTTTCTGATCGATTCCACAACGTTTCTTTCACAATGCAATCGCATGACCATTACTGGTCTTTACCTTTAAAGAGAAGAAACGCAGAATATGCCAATTGCTAAATTCAACTTTCAAAATGCAAAAAACAGAACGAGAAAAAACGAGAAAAAAAATCTTCAGAATGGGGTGGGAGGGGGTCTGGAATGCGCCCCTTATCATTGTATTCCCCCGATAGCAGTTAGTCAACTCATTATTCCATGTAATTCTATATCTGTCCAAATTCTACTTTGCCAATTAGATAGAATAGCACGATGGACATCATTTTATTTTTGAAACATGAAGCTAAGTCAATATTACGAGATACCCATCGTTTAATCTTTCCGTAATATCAAATGTTAAAGGTATGATCATGTTATGGTTTAGTCGGGTTTTAACGATTGTCCTGCCAATTCCCAGAATATGTTTTAAAAGATACAGTCTAAAAATCTGGATGTAAAAAATGTGACATTATAATGAAATAGGCCTATATCAACAACAATATAGACAATTGCGATTTATAGTTTTTATGATTTCAGCCACTTAGATAATATCCCGCAAACATATTTGAGGTGGTTTATAAATACCAATTTCACAGTGGCCAGTCTTAATGATAGTTTTTTTTTGAAGAGCTTGAAACAATTTACTCTATTATTGATGCTTTCAAAAGAAGTAGCTCACTACAAATTTGAAGAGATTGTTTTTCACATCAATTAGGTAGAGTTTCTATTAAAATCATTAAATGTTGTTTAATATAAAGTCTACCAAATTTATTTTATTCTATTTTTTACGCCGAGTGAAGAGGGTACCGATTAATACCGTGGAAAGGGCAAGAGAAATCAGTATAAATTGCCATGATTCTGACGTCATACTACGTCTTTTCTTGACCCCTCCCCTACTCCCTCGAGAATGGTCACGATTGGTTTAATATCGGTCGACGACACAGCTGCACATCTCATGAATATTCATGAGTAATGTCAACCTTGCCTCCATCAATACACTCTCAATGAACAACGTCGTTTTGATTGCATTTAATTCTTCCATGAGAGACTGCATGTAGCTGGGAAAATGCTTATTAAGGCCACTCGAGGGACAATAATACAACTCCATGATTTTTGAAGAGCATCAGACAAGCATTCTCTTCAAGCTCCGACGACGCGAAGTCGACCTTAAAGAAGATAGAACAAAATTATTCGCGTCGATGAAGATATTTTCGTTCTAGTTTTTCGTCATAGGGCTTATTATTGGACAGCAGATATTATTTTAAAAATCTTAATATTTAAAAGGTAGTTAGATCTTTGGATTCGAAAAGTTGCGTTATTTGATTTGCTTTCATCGGTGTTCAAAATCTTCAAAACTATAGAGAAGAAGAAGAAAAGAACGTCTGGTGCTAATTTTGTTAGGAAAATGAACAAGAAATGCATTGTGACTGCAACGCATATTCTCCTGTTCTTACAAGCCCTCTCCTCCATCAACGCGCTCCCCATCCTCCCCGAGGAGCCCGAACATGACGTCGTCCACGACTACCACTACGAAACCAGCTTCGTAACACCATACGAGGAGATCGACGAACTCGCCCATCTAAAATGGTCCGTCGATTACACGACGTCGTTGCTTCGGTACATGCTCAGCGTACCGTTGTTCGACGATGTCACAGCAGACGATGCAGGGAGCAGGAGTGAAAATTTTCCCGCGCTTTCTCGGGCAGGCCGCGAATGGCTGGCGGTGGGGATGTCGCCCTATGGTGCATCTACTGGTGCCGATATGGTGACGTTTATCAGGGGGTCCAATGGCGAAGTCACCATTTTGGTAAGTCATAAACTTAAATAATTTCTCACATTAAATTTTGTAGAAAAAATGATAGAAAAAGCATTTTATACAATTGTTTCTATGCTAGATAGTGAAGTAATATTTCTGATTTTCTGACTCCTTGCTTATTTTGTTTAAATGTATTTTATTCAATTGTACATATTTGTATATGCTTTCTTTTAATATCAGCATCAGTGGATTCAATTAGGCTCATATATATTTTTCAGGGATGATTAGGTAAATAAATGACGAAGAAGGGAATATGATCACCTTCTGTCAGTTTTTGGTCGACGTTTTGTCAGCAATGGATACAACTCGCTGATTAAATATTAAGATTAAGCAGCATCTCCCGCGGGGTTTTACATTGTAGATGTATACCATTTTATTAGCTTCGCATGATTTCTACATTTCAATAAGTACTACTGCTATAAGTAGGCCTACTATGAATACTACTACTATATCACCAACGCAACATTACCACCACCATCAATACCTTACCACATCAACTACAACAACAAGCAACACCATCACCAACATTACCACCATCAGAACCATTACCAATGTAATCACCACCACCAAAACAACATCATTATTCTAAATTAGGGTGTACCCACCAGCTTTGACAGCAGTCAATACATAAACAATGCCAAGATGACGTCAGTTGCACGTGTACTTTTGAAAAATGAAAGAGAGTACAACACCTACATATAACCTTTATGGTTGACAAAAGTGATTAATATTATGTAATTGATCACTCTGTGATGGCCAATTCACGCCGTGTACCTTAATAACCAATGCAAACTATTTTTGACTGATCTTGTTAGGCCGTAGGCGGTGTAATTGTGATTGCAAGAGCCCGAAGCTTTCGAGTGAATTAGAAATCGGTAAACTAACAAGGCCCTTAGACATTGCCTGGCGATGTTTTATCATAATTATAGTGGATGCTGCATGCCACTCTGTATGGAAGTAGATAGGGCATGTCATTGTCATTGGAAATAAAATCAGTGCTTGAAGTCGGTTGTGATCGGAGATATAAGAAAGGGATTTCGAGAGACTGAGAGAGAGAGAGAGAGAGAGAGAGAGAGAGAGAGAGAAAGAGAGGGAGAGAGAGACACGGGGAGGAAACTATAGATAAAGTGAAAGAGAGACAGACAGAAAGAAAGAAGGGGAAAAGAGAAAGATTGAGAAAGGAAAAGAGACAGATTGGCAGAACCACATGAAGATAGGGAACGAAAGATAGATACAGAGAAACAGATTTTAAAAAATTGTTACACGTAATCATTATGTGGACATCGTTCGTGTAGTTACCCACATCTTTATCTGTCTAAAACATTGAGAGAGGTGTTATATGGTTATGTTTTTTTCCACGTCAATAATGATAATAACCTATTAATTAAATCATTCAAGAGAGCTGGCGCTGCGTAAAAATCTAGAAACTGGAGAGTCGGTATACGCAGGATCAATTCTACATTAATGTTTGTGGAGGTGGAGGTTGGGGAGCTGCGGCTAGTGGGTGCGCTTTGAGGTTCTTGAACATGGCTTGTGCCTCGAAAAACCACCTTTCTTTTGCAGGGGAGAGATGCTTCAGTTCCCACCCTACCCCCTAGTACCGCTTCTTGGTGTTCGGGCAAGACGTCAGCCTTCAACGAAATCGGGGGGGGGGGGGCTTTTATTATCACCTATGCCGTTGACGAATATCCTAGCGCCAACTTCTGGCTATTTTAGAATATAAATATTGCATTTTATATAAGAAATAGGTGTATTTTATTTTTTGAGATAGAACAAACCCTTGAAGTATTTTATAGATTTTGTTTTGACTGAATAAATTTGATATATTTTTGTATTAAGCAGTAAGATCTCATAACTTACCACCCCCCCCCCCTTTTCCCCTTAGATTTCGAGAGATGTAAATCTGAAAAATGAAAAATCACTATTTACATTAAATGTGAATTATTGACTTAGGTCTGGTGGTAGAACACTCATATAAATGCATTAATTTTGTTATCTGCAATATTTTTGTTTCCCATTTTCATGATGATGGCGGTCCATTTTTTCTCCTCGGAATTTTCTTGTTTGTCATTATTGATGCAAATTGTATAGACAATATCATACGATAAATTCAGGTCACACGCAAGCACATTCGAGCGACACTATTTTATCAAAACGTTAACAAAATTCACCAATAACAGATATTGACATCCCAGGATTGCCATTCAGCAGTATTCAGTGATCGTCTATTAGATTTTCGGCCTGCTCATTGACTATATTAATAACCGAGTCTCACCATTGAATTATATACGCGCAGTCATTGTTCGTATTATCATTTTATTTGCAATTCTGCCCGTTGGTTGAAAAGTGACCAAAACGTGTCACGTTTCTTTTGTAGGCCTATTCAAAGATCGCTGTTGGTGCCTTTTTACGCCTACACCCGATATATATATTCACTGTAGGGAAATTTGATACATCTGCAGTTATCTTTAATAAATATTGATGCCTGGGCAATTGATATCTTCTTATCTTGTCACAGTTATGTGAGATATTATCTCTTTTTTGGAGTCAGATATTAAAATTTAGAAAGAGGTGCGAATAATATTGCAATATTGTGTAACTGAGAGGTGGGCGAAATGGAAATGATAGGAGGCCATTTGCGTACAGAATGTTAGGGGGAAAAAGCAGTAGCAGTATTGTATTTCATCTGTGCTATGCATATCACAACTATAGTTTTTTTTAACGCCCCCTTCACTTTCAAATGTCTAATATTACACGGTAAATTATTTTGTTATTGTTGTCGAGATGTATTTAGGGGGGGGGGGGTAAAGGCTTTTTTTGGAGGGATGGGTTAACGTCAACATGCCTATTATATTTATAATTATGTATATCTGCATGTATTTAATTGATTTGTATTTGTTCGAGATGAAAAGTTAGATGAATTATAAGTTTATTCGTTGCAAAATAAATAACAAGTTGGATTTCGAGTACAAACAAAAATTCAGTAAGACACATAGCAATGATCGTAATGAACTGATGGAGAATAATTTACGAAATAAAGCTAAACTAAAATTGAGTGGCGACGTATAATCATGGCAAGGGCCTTGCCAAACATGTCACCCGTTTGAGCTCACACTATACTGACCTGTAGGCTTACTTAGACCATCCTTTTCATTTACCGAAGAAATTGTCTTTTCAGTCAACCTTGGGCTGTCGGATTTAGTTCCCCCTTTTGGGAGAGTAATTCTTCAAGGTTCAAGGTTCAAGGTTCAAGGTTCAAGACTTCGTTAAAAAAAAGGGTTTATAGTATAACAGAAAATGAAGTAGTGGAATCAAAAGATACAGTTTCTTCATATTTGTATTACTCCCTCCCGATATTTTCGACACCCCCGCTTCCAATCATGATTCGGACAGAGAGAGAGAGAGAGAGAGAGAGAGAGAGAGAGAGAGAGAGAGAGAGAGAGAGAGGACGGGGGGGGGGGGGGGGCGGGGGGGCTCAGCTGAGTCGCATCCTATACTTTTGGCCGACCCTCCGCATTATACCCACAGCGAGATTTCCTAAATGATTTCAACCAGACTCTAGCTACCCAACCCATCCAAAAGCCCGACTAAATGCACCTCTGACATGGCACAAAGTCTCTAGAACACTTCTCAAAGTTCTAAAGTACACGAAATGATATAGCCATGCACGTACAACATGTTTCCAAATGCTCGGGGCTCGACGCCATCAATTTGCTCTTGCAAGCCCGGAGCATAGTTGCGATTCAAAACTCAATTTTCACCCGAAGCTTCCTAAAAACTTCATTAAATGCCGGACAAAAAGCAGCGCATTACTCTGACCCCTACTCTCCCCGAGAGATTTTTATCGAACCGCTCTTTTCGGACCTAATTTCATAATATTTAGACATCAATATTTCCAAGCGATTATTAAACTATCCCGCTTCATTTTTAACAATTTCATGTCTGCTTAAGTGGTAGGGAATATATTGGAGTACATTTTTAGCCACAACATAATCAAAACTTGAAGCAGGGATTGGGGTGCAAATCAGATGACCTTTCACGATTTATCCATATGACATTTTCTGAGAGTGGGTGATGTGTGGTTTCAGAAAAAGAAGATGATTCATATAGTTTTGTTAAAAAGAAAACTTTGATGGAATAGAATAGTTTGACGTCATGATGCAAATAGATGTGAGAAATGGAATCTAGATTTAAAAATAAAATAGCGACATAGGATAGGAGGAAACGACTTCTAATTTAAAAAAAGTAAGTTAATATGATTCAGTAGCTCTCTTTCTCTCCCTGTCTCTTCCTATACTTTCTTTCCATTTATGTCTCCCCTCTCCCCCCCCCTCTCTCTCTCTCTCTTTCTCTCTCTCTCTCTCTCTCTCTCTCTCTCTCTCTCTCTTCTCTCTCTCGTCTCTTTTATTATCATCGTGCATATATCGTTCAGGAAGCATATTATTACTAATCAGACGAATAAAACATTTTTTTTTCATTGTGAAAGAAACCTCATTCTAAAAATATGTGTGTCTTATATTTATCAAATTATATCTTTCTTATAGGACACTTATACAGATGAGTATGGAGTGCTAACCGTTGATGACAAACAGGATTACAAGCTATGGAACGCTTGGATAAGGCAACCATTAGGCGAGGACATTAGCGATGATGAAGATGACCACCGTGTGAAGAGGAAAGAACTCGTGATCGAGTATGGACGGCAGATCGACACATGCGATGATAAAGACTACTTAGTTGAGGTGCGTTTCATTTCAACATAAAGTTATGTTTGCTGGTCCTTTCTCGTAGCATTTTGGAGATGGTTATTATCTAACTGTCTTGTTGATAGCACTTATTCAAGTAGACTAACCACGGAAATATACCCGTTTGGCACAATTTTAAAGAAAACGATAACATTAAAAAATTGTGTGTGTTTTTTTTTTTATGTGAAGTGAATCACTTGTCTTGAAAGAAATCAAAGGTGCATTAATCATATTGATACCGATTTTCATAATCACACTTTTAATTATCTTTTAATTTTATTGCTTTCACTCGAGGCAGCTTACTTTCAAAATTAGATTGCCATATTAAAACAACCGTGTGGTGATAGAGTGTATTATATATGACCAAAGCTAAATGAAAGAAATGTGTGTCACAATGTTGGTGTCCCTGAGTTGCCGAATGAACAAACTTAATGATTTCAGTCACCAAGATCTTAAAGGAACACATAGACATTGAAATAAATCCTGCCGATATAGGGCGCGTTCATGCTTGATTTTGACGGCCAGAATCAGGCATCTGTTACGCGTTTAGTTTAAAACACGATTGCGTTCATGCTCACTTTTGTAGAATCACCGAAAAACGGCGATCACGATCGCCGATCGTAAACTCACAAAATGATGCGTTTACAATTTGTAAACGCGTTTAAATGGGGTCAACGCACTGACCTCTAGTGGGTCTACGTAGCATGCGCACACAGATTTGCGAATCCAGCTGAAGGCCACCCAAGGAGAATTGCCTGGAGAAGTGAGCATGAACAGTGCACCGTGGAACTGCGATTACGATGAGCGTTTACGATGAGCGTTACAAATCGCTCATTCTGCCTTCAAAATCAAGCATGAACGCGCCCTTAGACAGATCGCATCGTGTATAGTTCAACTACTCACGGAGAAATTCTCTCACAAAAAGCTGTGGACACGACTTGTCTTTCCGGCTATAATCTAATCTCTTAACGCTGACATTAAAACTAAATCAATGCCATTACCAGCAATGATTTATTTTAGAATTCATACCCCTGCGAGTCCACAAATCCGATAGCGGACATCGATTGAAAAGGATATTTAGTTAAACCGCGAAAGATTAAACACCTGTAGCAAGCGATACGGTTCGCACGCTAACCGAAGCGAGGCAAGATATCCGCGGTATTGATCCGATAAAACGACTCGTTATGATTAATGAGGCTATGAGTGGGATATTTTGTGTAGAACGAGGTTCATGAAACATTTGACGTGGAAATGGGGCACATCATGAAACTCAATAGTGGGAATAAGAGTCTCTTTCGGATGTACCGAAGAATAAGTATGTGGGGGGGGGGGGGGGTGCCCCATCTCGATTCCACATCTATGTAATTTAAATTGACTGTTCTCGATCAAAGTTAACACACCCCGGTATGTATTTCCTTACTTCACATCTCATTAAGATCACAAAACGTACATAAATGCAGGCACGTAGCCACGGGGGAGGGGGGGGGGGCACGTGCCCCCCTAAAATTTCTAAGATCGGTTGAAATTTTTTAGACCCCTTTTTGTTTACCTCGATTGATTACAAGTCATGTAGGTGCCCCCCCCCCCAAAAAAAAACAAAAAAAAAACATCGAACTCTGGCTACGTGTCTGCATAAATGAGAGATAATATCTGACTAAGTCAGTGGCGTAGTTATTAAGGGGGCGAACCCCTCGCAATAATAGCAAAATGAGAACAAAAGGAAGATGACCCACACCGTCTAGCAATCGGTGGACTTATACGGGTAGGTCCATGCCCCAATGACACCAGTGCCGCTATCAGTTGATGGACCCAAAAGATGCCACTGTCATGTTTTCTTTCTCATCTTCTTCCTCTTCTTCTTCTTTTTCTTACTTCTTCTCATTTTCCCCCTATTTCCCTTCGTTCTCCTCCTTAACCTTCTGATTCTTCTTCTCTTTCTATTTAATAAGTTCTCCCCCGAGAACTACATTGTTCTAGTGTTAGATTGTTCTGTTAAGCCATGTTAAGTTGAAGGACATTAAACTGTCTATCAAGAAAGAAATACCTTTATCGTTTATCCACAATAAACCAAAGACTCAAATTGAATTGCAAATGCCCTTAATGCTTTCCACGTTTTCCTCGCAATAAACAGCGTGTAACTTAAGATTAATCGATTGTGAATGCGGTTCGATGGAGTTTGTACAAGGAAGCCGCGAGGGGCAAAGGCCGCGTGCATACGTGGAGTATAGAAAGGATAGAAGAGGGTCAACAGATGTGTTTGAAATGTTACTGTGGTGTGGTTTTCATTACATACGACACAGGTTTGCTTACTGCGATGGATATTCACTTGAAGAACTTTCCTGGTTTAAAGGATGAATGGAGAGGCACAGAGGCGAATCAAGGATTCTTTCTAACAGGAGGGGGCCGCAAACAGGCATCAAAAGTGGAAGGGCTGATCGAGATGCGAAAATGGTTAAATTAAGTTCATGTGCCCCCTCTGCCCCCTGGATCCGTCGAGGAATAAGCCTTCTATGGATAGGGAGGATTCGCTGACTGGAAGGGCCGCACACAGGTGCCAAAAAGGGCTGACATGAGAATTTTCTTTTTTTAAATATAGGGCACTATGTCTTATACCCCTCCACCACCTAGATTGGAGTGTAATATGCATACTAATAACTACGCACCGGCAAGCGGTAAAACGATCAAATTTTATGAGTATCTCCACGTAATTGTTCCATGGTTTATGAGAAAGAACAATGGTATAGGTCTACTTTCCTATGTTTGCAGATCATTCTTGCATGTTTTAACGTAGAAATTTGTGACTCGTTTTCGATGAGAATATTGTCTCAGTTCTGAAATATTGAAGTAGCTCCGCCTTTTCCTCAATAATCAAAATCTACTAATATAAACTGTAATGCATTACCACTGAATATCAAATTAATCCATTATACTTACATTCCAAACCCTATTCTTTGTCACTTTCTCTTCATGTTTCTACCATTTTCATGTCTTAGCTGTTTCCCATTGTCCAATTCCTTCACACGCCAAGTCTAAGTTCTTTCCTTAAGCTATTTCTTTTTTCTAATTATAGGATTTTTGTTTTATAATTTGCTAAGACTCTCGCCCTAAAATCCTTCGAAACTTGGCCATGAGTCAGATATTGATTAACCTTGGGTGACATGTCGGTCACTTTGTGAAACCCTAGCCAGTGACTAACCCAAGGCCAAGGGGCTGCTAGTAGGGACTTTTAGATTTGCACGTCGATATAGTGGACTGCTACGTGTGACGTCCTTTTGAGGCAATGTTATGTTCTTTTAAGGCACTGCCAGTACATTAAAAGGACGTCACACGTGGCAGTCCACTATGTGGACGTGCAAATCTAAAAGTCCGTAGGGTCTCTTCACAGTAAACACGTATGTCGGCGACGTATTCAGCATCATTTTATGAGTGAACCAATGAACGAAAAACTTCCATTAAAAGGCCCAGAAAATAAAAAAGTGTAATAATCAGGATTGCAACCACTTCGGAAAAGCATAAACCTATTGAAATGTGCGAACATGATAATGATGTATTACAAAATCCGAACATTATTTCTATGGGACATAGATTATAAGAGGGTATTGAAATCGCCCTTGCGTTGCTTTTTCGAAAACAGACGTGATAATGTTAATACTTGCAGTGTGTCTATGCCTTGCTGGGATGCCAAGATGTATTTCGCTTCTCCTGCCGAAGGGATAATAATATTATTGTTAACCCATAATTGGAACCCTTGATCATTTAGCTTAAATGCTGTTCTTCCTTAAGGTCCTGCAATTATTATTACCGAAACAAATTGCCAGGTACCCATTTCCACCTCGCTCCACCTGAGTGGTGAATGGCAAATGTATGTTTGTCAAAAGAAGTTTGGTGCCGGGCTGGGATTCGAACCCTTAACCCTTGGATTGAGTGAATGAACCACTAAACCACATCATTTCTCCACGTAAGACTTTCCAGAACAATTTTCTTTCCCTCTAAAGTTAGAGGGAGAAAGGTCCCCATTTTTATCTTGTCTGCGGATACAGACTCATTATTTGACATAATTATCTAAACATAATTCAGATTTGTAAAGCAAAAAATGAATCCTTTATTGACCACCAGCAACAATACGCAGTCTCTTCTTTACCACACATGGAGATGAACTCAAAACAATAGCATTTCCGTCAATTAAAAGAAGAATCGCATTATGGTTTTAAAAACCCCTTTGTTAATGTAAAAATACCCATGTACAGTCTTGATTACCTACATAACAACCCTATAAACACATTAATTTAACACTGATGAAAAAACAAAATTTAACACTGATGAATTACAAACTTTACAAAGTCATTAAAAAAAGTCTACAGAAAGACAGAATTTAGCAGCCCGGAGAGCGTCCAACGAACTTTCCCGACCTATGCTTCGAGCTATGGTCGATTTACCTAAGATCCAATTGCACACACTCGTGTACCACGGGATATTTAAAAGTAAAATCCGTCGGCATTTCAGGTGGATCTTTCTACAGTCAAATATCGACTCGAGGGAAAACGCGGTTGACCGGATATTTGATGCCGGTAATACGGTAATGTCAATCAGTCAATCAATCAATGTCATGAGTTTCTGCGATTGTTTTAACTGTCAACGCGGGCTTTTCTTTCTTTGTTCCGGTTTTCCTTTTCGTCCATCGTCGTGCGCGCGTTCGTGCGATTTCATTACATACCCATTGTAAGTTTATCTGTCTGTTGGCTTACTCCGTCCAAATTAAATTGATTCGTTAGAGCCACTTTATCTTCACGGAGTGCTCTCAGTTATAATAATGCTGCTTCGCTTTCTCCTCATCTATCTTTCCTTTCTCCCGAACTGTTGCGTTCCATCTCTCTGCCTCCGATCCCCACCACCCCAATGTAGTTGTCTCTCTTTCGTCGCATCCTCTTTCTTTATTCCCCCCTCTCTCTCTCTTTCACTTTCTCTCCTCTTATGCTCCATATCAGTGTCTTTTTCCCCCTCATTCTCCTGCTCTCTCTTCCTTGTTCTTGCTCTCATGCTCCTTTTCTCGTTTACTCTTGTATCCGATGTCTGACAGTTTCCCCCGTTCTCCCCCTCATCGTTCCTCGCCGATCCGTGAAAATGGAATTAACAAATCGATAGCAGCAGTATTTCAACTTAAATTGGACATTGATTTTTTAGGGTGAATTGAAACATGAATGTGCCGCCAACTCAAATGGCTCTAGGGCTATGGTCTCATTAGCCTAAAACCTAAGGTCATTGGAGGTGAATGAGGTCATCACTGGCGGGATTTTCTCAGAAGTGTAGCTCTTATTTCTCAGCCAACTCTCTTTGTCTGCATCGGGACATGCCAAAGGGCCCTTTTAAAAGAAAAAAAACATATTGGATATTGCGATTACGGATTTTAAGATTTAAAGTACTCTATGGTTACATTCCATATTGGCTAAAGGCTGCATTGCATATTCTGTCAGAATATTTTACTACACAGGTTTAATAAGATTACCAATGATTCTATCGATGAAACTTGCATGAGCTGAATAATCATCCCCTTTTTCGTATCATTGCTATAAAATGTCATTGTAAAGCTAAAGATGTTCCACCTTTTGAGAAAGCAATATCTATCCACGCTCTCCCTGGTATTTGGCAAAAAATTGTTTTGGGGGATTTGCCAAGAGGACTATTTCAACGCTAACATCTGCCACGCAATCACGTGACTGCACGAACCGCTGCCACCAGGCGCCGTTTCTTGGACCGTCATAAGTCTAACTTCTTGGACATCCCTATGAAACATGTTATAGAATAAACTCGCGTTTCTATGGGATGTCCACGGACTTTAAAAGTCTTACAATGGTTTCGAGAAACCGGCCCCTGGGGCCATTGTACCAACGTACACTATACAATCGATGTCCAGTATATATCAATTCGACGTCGACTTTCGTTCTTATTGCAATAAGAATGCGACGAACAACGACGTCATACCTGAGGCGATTGTCCTCATTCGACAATCAGTCGATCACAGACCTCGTCTGCGCTGTCTGTAGCGATTTTGCTTTGAGGTGTAATTTAAAACTCAGAAGCTTTTTGCTTATAATTAGAAAAGCGTTTTTATATATTGTTATTATCATAAATGTAAATTGGTTATTGTATGGAAAGCGATAAAAGCTTATGAAAACGTATTTGCTATAGTAATATATGAAATAATTCAACGAATGATCATGAACATGAATGGAGGATCAAATAGCTAGCAAAGCTACAGTGTAGACAACGGTGTCTGCCTTGAAAATGAGTCTCGTATGCATGGATTAACTAAGTCCGGCAAATGATGACAAAACGTACCCATGTATAGCCAACCCTTTAGAGATATTAGTTAAAACTCCTTCAAACTCTTTGATCCTCTCTTTCTCTCCATCTATATCTAACCTTTCTATGTATGTATCTATCTATCTATACGTCGAAGTCTTTTTTTCTTTTCCTTCTCTTTCATTTCTTTCACTTTCTGCCTCCCTGTTGCTCTCACTCTCACTTCTTTCACTACACCCATCCTCACCCCTCTGTCTCTGTCTCTCTCTCTCTCTCTCTCTCTCCTTCTCCGTATCGATTCCTTCCAATGTCTTTATCGTCAATTAATGATTTCCTCCTAAATGTATTTCTTTCCAGTGGGACATCCACATGCCACCTCTTAATCAGCATGGTAGCTGTTATCCCCGCGTAATAAAGTCCCCCCCCCCCCCCCCGTTGCACCTATCCACCACTCCCTCCGAAGGGAGACACTTCCCAAAACCAAAGTTTAATCGCTCTGTGAATCAATTAATCATTTTCACCTGTTTTGCTTCATTTGTTTTCAGAGGGGTACCACGCACCTCCTCTTTCTCCGCGGGCCTGGTTCTTGGCCCCAGAACGACACTGTGGAGTCCTCCGTTGCACCCCTCCACCACTCCCTACGAAGGGTAACGCTCCTGAAGCCGGAGCGACCAATTCCAAGCTTCCCATCTGATACCAAGATCATTGAGGTTACGGTCGACGATGTAAGTCCCAAATTAAAACAAAAATCTTTATAAAACACGGATGTTTTGTCATTTTCAGTCATTTTATATACCAAATTATGAGCGAATACTCATGAATAGCTGTTGATCTCGGCCAGGCTTATAATTGTTTTGACAATCCTTTTGAATTATTTCATCCGATCTGTTTGTACACTTTGTTAGCTTTGCAAAATAGAATATTGACATATTCTGTCAATGCCGTTTGGTAATCATCATCAACATCATCACATTTTAAGTAATTCTTTAAAGTGTATAATTGCGATAAGAAAAGTATTTGCCATTAGCAATATGTAGGAAATTCGCAAAGTTCATTCATTTATACGAAGATTCACTCATAAAATTGCACCAACATTATTCTCCAGAGAATGGCAGAGATATACCGTTACTTTGGTAAGATTTTTATTTAGCTTGTATCAGTTTGCATCATAATGAAAATTGCAACATTTCTTTTAATTTAGATCACGGTTCCTGATGATGATACGACTTATTGGTGCAAAGTTTCAAAGTTTCCCGATGCAGAAGTAAAACATCACATCGTAAAGGTAGGCTGATAATATATTTTCATTTATGATGTTGAAATAACTATTTGCAAGTTGAATAAATACAAAAGTTACATGTGTTTTCCTCTCTTTCCATTAATCATTATTATGCATTTCTATTGAACATGTTTATTACAAATGACGAAACCATTTCCATTTCTATTGGCAACTGATAATAATCAAGATCAACATTAGCAGCGAACACAGCGAACACAGCGAACACAGCGAACACAGCAGCGCAAATGTCATTTTTTGAATGGTGATTTTTATCATCAAGACATCTGTGGTTAAATAAAACAACGTCTAGGTATCATGCTAGACATACGGATATAATGTCGTCCGAGGTCCTTTCTGCAAAACAGAATTTGGCTGACTGTAACTCCCGCTAATGACTAAAATGAATGGGATTTAAATATAAGTTCTCAACCTTTTTCGTTTTAGTATGAGGTAGAGGTAACGGAAGGCAACGAGGATCTCGTTCATCACATCGAGGTCTACCATTGTGACGTCGATCCCGATGTCGAAGTATCTCTCTACCAGGGTCCCTGTGATGATCGTCCGGCCGGGTCTTCCAGTTTGGCGTGTAGCCAGGTCATTGGCGCTTGGGCCATGGGGGCAGAGGTTGGTATATAGATAGGGTTGATCTGATATATCAATTAACATTGTTGGACCGGTGATGGTGGTGTTGGTGTGGTGGTTTTGATGATATTGGTGGTGGTGGTTGTGGTGGTGACGGTGGTGGTGGTGGTGATGATGATGTCATTGACATCGTTGACTTTGATAATGACGATAATGATGATGGTTTTGGCCATGAAAACTGATAAGCTGATAATACAAAGAGGAATTAGAGGAGCAGGAATATAATGCGGACGGAAAAACCAAAATTGAATAACATGAATATGGGGGAAGACGGAGGAAAAGGGAGATTTATTCAAACTCACCCACATACACATACACGCACCATTACAAACAATCATTAACATATAACTTCGATATTTATGACGGAATTAACATGACTGTATTAGCTCAATAGTATTAGGTTGGAGATTATTGTGTCATATTAAAAACGTTCTATTCAGGCTTTTAAGAGTGATGCGCGGTGGCTCAGGGGTAGAGCAGTGGTCTCGTAATCAGGAGGTCCCTGGTTCGAAACCAAATCGATGCGCTAGTGTCTGTTGGTAAAGCATTAATCCTCATGACTAATTCCCTCGCAGAGGACTTTAAGCTGTCGGTCCCATGGTTGCTTACTTACAAGCATACACATGCTTTCTTAGAAGTCAAGTAAAGCAAAGAAACCTACCAACCACCCAACCAATTTCAATCATTTTTTTTTTGGTTCGTTTCAGGCATTCGTGTACCCTGAAGAGGCAGGCATTGCTATAGGAGGACCAACAACATCAAGCTACATCATGATAGAGATTCATTATAACAACCCGGCCAGAAAAGCAGGTATATAGTTAACAACTAAATTGTTCTTTGCTTGAATTCAGAACTACACGCAGGCTCACTAACGTCCAAAGAGACATTCATATTACATTAGGAATGTTCATCCCATAAAAGTGCTTAAAAACAATCAGGTAAAGGGTGGTTTTTCATTTTTCATTCAAAGCCACATGGTTTATAGGCACCTTTCCAATCGGAGATGATTGCCAACCGTTTTCTTTTGTCTGCCATAAGAAAGTAGTGGAGAGAAAAATCATTTTTTTTTTTTAAATAACACTTTTTGCACTATTTTTCACATTTAAATGTCATGAAATTTAATATGTATAGACATAGCAGAAGAACCTACATGAGTATATTATATGGTCTGCATTTTATAATGCCCTTTACATTGTACTTAATGTAGACACATATAACAATGCTTCTGTGTTGACATGAGCGATAATTAGTGCAAGAGCTCATTAACTTATAAATAATTAAGTTTATGCCAACTGTAAGTTTCAATTGAGATTAGAATATACTTTTTTTGGTGGACAGTTGCTAAAATCAATTTTGATTTATTATTATTCCTTACATTTTATACTACATTGCCAAAAAATATAGGCCTTTGAATATCTAAATCTTTCATTATGTGGGTATCTGGTCAATGACAATAATAATATTTTTTAACATGGCAGGTATCGTGGATAGTTCCGGTCTTCGCTTCTACTACACACCTACCCTGAGACCATTTGACGCTGGTATCATTGAGCTGGGTCTAGTCTACACCCCCAAGCTCTCGATACCACCAGAGATGGATGAATTCATTCTGACCGGACACTGTCTACCAAGATGCACAGGAAAGGTATGCTTCAAGATAAACTGAAGTTCTTGTAAATATAGAAAGTAGATTCTCACAGAATCCAACGAAACTTACACTGAATGTTTAAGATTACAATAAATGATATGTGCCAAACAATTTTGGTAGAAAATGTATAGTGGCTGAGTAATGAGCATAGAAAGATAAAGAAATCAAGGTAAGTACAAGTCATGCAGGCCCGACACCCTATGCTTAACACAGGTCACTATGTGCAAACGGAATTTGTGATGTTTTTTTATCGAAGCTGATACCCAGTAAGTTTTTGTGCATTTGTTTTTATTTCTCTGGTTCAAACAAACAATCTACTGCAGGATAAACAATCCAAAATAAACCGTAGCACTTTTCTCTCAAAAACGATCCCCAAGCCAGAGCTCAAGATTAGCTTTAAGAAACCGAGACAATACTCTATGCTCCCGTTATTTTAAAGGTGTATGGCATGAACGATTGCCTCAATATGACAGAAGTATTGTTTTATCTTGCAGATTTGTTTGACGTATGCAGGTGTCAAATATGATTCCGTTACGTTGTGATGACGAATCAGGGGAACTATTGCCCCGGACAACACCCAAGAGAGTTCCCCTAAGAAAAATCCCTCCCTAGGACAACTTAGCCACTGACACGACTAACCCCAAAGAAACTGTCGCTTCAAAATAACTCAAATTATTCCCAGATAAACTACTGAATTGTTTATTAGAATGTGAGCTCTCCAACGTGTGGTCTTTGATTTTTCTCGGGATAGTTCTCCGGGGTTATTTTGAAATACAATACATCGGGACGATTAAGTCACGTGTCAATAAATGCATTAATTTCTATCAAAATGGTATTTCTATTTCTTACATCATTCATTACAAAGTTTTCAACTGCCAATTATGTTTCCCGTATTGTATGCTAATTGAAGGATGAACTATTATTTTTCGAACTATTCTCTTTTCCGAATTTCCTGTCAGGGTTTGCCGCGACGGGGTATTAAAGCGTTTGCATCCCAGCTGCACACCCATTTGACAGGCACGGCGGTTTGGACCAAACATGTCCGAGACGGGATAGAACAACCTGAGCTTAATAGAGACGATCATTTTAGCTCGGACTTCCAGGTAAGATGCTATAAGAAAGTAATAATGACGGCAATGATTTTGATGATGATGACGACGATGATGTCGAGTTTGACATTGATGATGGTTATATTGTGGAGATGTTTTTTTAGATATGGTTTGACTGAGTCATAATGTAAGCTAAATAGGATTCATTATCTATAGAGTGTGGTGTCCCACAATGATCAATACTTGGTACTTTGTTATTTTAATAAGAAAATGTAGAATACTATTTTTTCACTTTAACCTGAAAAATTGCAATATTTTCTATCAGCTTCAGACAATATTTTATACTTCTCCAAAAATTAATTTCCAGATGCCTTTCAAAAAGTTTTTAAAAAGGTAAACTGACAATTAATCTAGGAGGTTTATCAAAGGACTACAATATTTTCTGAACAAACAAAAACACAAAGCAAAATCGTAGTAGAGCGATGAAGTAGTATTTTCATTCATTTTGAAAGACACTCGATTTCTCTTGTATTTAACTTAATTTGCATTGTTCCTTTCGCAGGAAATCCGAATGTTACCAAAACCAGTTCATATCTTGCCAGTAAGTATTTCTGTGGTGTAACTTTTAACATACAAGCAAAACAGTAATTTTTCCTCTGTACAGAAAATTTTATAAACTATCATTTTCTTAGTTATTGATGACGGAATAGAATTGTTTCATACAAGGGTTGTATACAAATATATTTGCAATACTAATATCTAGGCTTAATGTATGACTTAAAATTTAATCAATATACATTTTTGAAGTTGTTTAGTACAGGGCAAGTGGGAGCAGAGCTCACAAGATACGTCACAGAGTTGTCAATTTGTGTTTGATTAATCGCACCTTCAACAATAAATGATTTTCTAATTTTCAATTGGGTTTTGCTCAGACTTTCACTGACCTGTTCCTCTTATTTCTGTGCTTCTATTAAAACCAACTTAATATCAGGGTGGGCTTCCCCTATAATATATTTAACCGAAGTTTAATGTCGTAAAATTTTCCATCATTTTTTCGTTTATTCATTCGTTTATTATTCCCGCCCCCTCTCTCCCTCTCTCTCTCCTTTTCTTTTTTTCTAGGGTGACACTCTAGTAACCTCTTGCCGATACGACACGAGTGACAAAGATAACGTGACGATGGTAAGCGTAAATCATACTGACAGTTATAGTCAACAAGGCAGCATTGATCAACACATACTTGTAGATCATTATGCAAATATTAAGTAAATAAATGTATTTATAATTCAGATTAATAATACATATCCACACTGGGATTTCAGATATCATTAAGTTACTTCAATACAAGTTTTCAATTTATAGGTAGTCTTCTTTCTATCTTTTGCATCATCGTGTAAGTAATAATCTTCACCACTTTGGCATAGGAAGTAAGCAAATTTTATAGCTCCTCAAAACCTTATTGATCAATCTCTATGACTCACTAGATTGATCAATAATCAATGTAAGAAGTTATAAACTGTATGTATCAAGGGTAAATCATATTGTCAAAATCATTTCATGAAAAGAGGTAAGAACAATATTATTCCAACTTTATAGGCAGTAGTGTATTTAACGCCCTATCTGCTCTATATGTTTGATTTGAATGATTTTTTCTTTTTTATTCTAGGGAGTTTGAGGTATCATTGATGAGATGTCATTTATCTATTTTTCACTTTCTAGGGTGGTTTTAGTATCACGGATGAGATGTGTGTAAACTACGTTCACTATTATCCACGCTCCCCGCTGGAAGTCTGTAAAAGCACCATCTCCAAAAGGATCCTCAGAAACTTCTTCTACTGGGCAAACGGGTACGTGAAGTATACACAACATAATGTGACCCGATGTCCATAAACCATGCAGGTCAACTGAAAATAACAGTTGTGATTTTTTAATTACAGCTATGTACATAAGAGATAGGAGACTGCAATATTGGGACTTATTAGAGGACTTGCGCGATTGATTCTGATCAGTCACAACTTTTTATAAGACGGGGCCAGGTCAACCGAAAAATTAGGAGGGAAAATGCTTCAGATAAACAGAAAGTTATATACCAAAGTCTAAAGACAATGCAAGCAGAACGAAGAACACTTTCTGACACGCATTGCCAGATTCTGACAATCGACTTAATGGATGGAAACCTTAATCTTAAAGTTCTCTGATATCAAGTGGAAGACATTAAAGATCATCTGACATGGAATCGTCTCTAAGTTCTCTTTTATCATGATCCTAGGTAATGATGAAAGAAAAAGAAGTAGATGCATGGTTATACAGAATTAAATTGGGAAGACAAAATTACAGTAAATGCAAGCAAGCTATTTCCTTTAAACATCAAAACATTTCTGGAACTGTGGAATTGTTTAGTGTTCGATGTCTTAAACTGTAAAACGAGAGATGAAAGAGAAAGAGAGAAAGAGTGAGGAATAAAGAAGAAGAAGAAGAAGAATAAGATGAAGAAGAAGAAGAAGAAAAAAAAAAAGAAGGAAAAGAAGGAAGAGAGAGAGAGAGAGAGAGAGAGGGGCGAAAAGGCATACCTCTATAAAGAAGAAGAAGAAGAAAATGAAGAAGAAGAAGAAGAAGAAGAAGAAGAAAATGAAGAAGAAGAAGAAGAAGAAGAAGAAGAAAAAAAAAGAAGAAGGAAAAGAAGGAAGAGAGAGAGAGAGAGAGAGAGAGAGAGAGAGAGAGGCGAAAAGGCATACCTCTATAAAGAAGAAGAAGAAGAAAATGTAGAAGAAGAAGAAGTAGAAGATGAAAAAAAACTAAGAAGGAAGAGAGAGAGAGAGAGAGAGAGTGGCGAAAAAGCACACCTCTATAAAGACCCTTGAAGTACTCTTTTTGTTTGTTTTATCCCTCCTGCTTTCCTCCTCCTCTTTTTCTCACTTGTTATCCCTCATCTCTTTCCCTCCCTCTATCTCCCCCTCTCTCTCTCTCTCTCAGGCACGAAGAAGACGTTGCCGACGACCTGTCCGATGAGGAGATCATAGACGGATTCCAAAGGCTTGAGTGGACGGGAGAGACCAAGAAGGTCTGGCAGGAGATCGTCCACCAAACCAACGTCGATATGGACTGCTTTCGACCAGCTGGCGTTCCGTTTACAGTAAGTTAGCCGTCTACAAAGTTACATTTCAAATCTTGTCTTTGAGAATAAAAATTAGTCCGGAGGAAGTGTCACAGGATCACCTTATTTTGAAGTCATTTGCATTTAAACAAATTCGGACTTTTGGAATAATGATATTACATAAACTTATGAAAGGCTGTTTTGAAATCGAAAAGTTGATTATCCAGCACGAGACAGAATTGTACCTGTAAACGAACATGTGCAATTAATTTGTTCACCATTACATTTTATCAGCCATATTTGATATCCTCTGGGGGTCCTCTAGCCCGCAATGAGTTATGAGTATGCACAATTTAGTTGTTAACCGTTTCATCTAAAGTTGCTCATGCGTGGGTATAATAGAGGGCAGCACATGGACAAACGCACGGGTTATGTAGTGACCCATGTCGTGGTCGCCAAGTTGCCTATTTCACGAACGTCTAGATACCCACGCATGAATACCTTTAATAATTATAAGTCCCTTTTCTTTATATCACAGGGGAAATGGAACGACATGGAAAGAGAAGAGATTCGGACCCATCTACCCCAAATCTCGGACGAGTGTTCAACAACAGATGATTGATGACGGACTCTGGCTTCAAAATCTAACTGCCAATCTTTGCAAAACTTTGCAAATCATGAAAACGAATTTCCTTTCAAAATTTACAAGGAACTTTGTATTTGACATTCATGTTTTTCATATGATGTGCACCTTTAGCTCAATAATAATTATGCAATCATTTTATTTGACACTGAGGTCAATTTTGATAACAAATTGTTTTCTTGGCATACAATAATGGCTTTTATGTTTTGAATTTCATGGTGAGAATAAGTTTTTTTTCTTTCTAGGGGTCTCCTGTTTGAGCGTCTGCAGGGTTGACACTGTGATTCTAATTTCAATGATGAAAAATGATTTAGATATCGTATAAAAGACAACCATTCAAAGCTTTACTAATGGGTTACTAACCTTATCTTCTGGAAAAGGCGCTATATAAATCCAAATATTACAATATTGTAACTATCCCGTGTAATAATAATAATAATAATTATTATTTCTTATATGGCGCTTTTTCAGGAAGGCCCTATCAACTGCGCCTTACAGATATATATACTATTACCCCGGTCATCGGATTCAAGGCTTACCCGCACACAATGTATGCACATTCTCCACTCCCTGGGGAGCATTCCAGCCAGCTAGTCACGACCAAGGACGTAGTAGAACAGGAGACCATTTACCAAATAAATTACATAAACAAGTTGCTTTCATGTTAAGTTATGATACAAAAGAATGACATGAAGATAAGTATATATACATTGAGCCAAACAGTGTTGTGATTTAAAAATAATAATTATAATGTTCCGTTCTTGTTTAGCGCATATGACATTATAACGTCCCTATGCGCTTCCAAAGAGCTTTGGAAATTATTACCCTAGCTTTAGCTCCGGCAGCCGTCATCAGTGCACAGTACATTTTCAAGGAATAATTCCACCAGGTACCCATTTACCTCACCTGGGTTGAGTGTGGCAAACGTTTTGCCAAAAGACGTTAATGCTGTGGCAGGGATTCGAACCCCGAACCCCGTACATTGTGGATCACAGTCCGGAGAATTATCCACTGGACCACATCACCTCTAACGGTCCGATTAAGATTATACTGAGGCTTTATTCTGAATTTCAGACTGTTAACACGACTCTAAAGTATTCAAATAAAATGGGCCTACCTTATAAGCATTCCTCAAATCAATGCATGTTGTCCAAGAACATGGACGTTGGTTAAGATTCAATTATTAATAATGTAACTTGGTAGGCCGTAACCAAAACGATAATCAGTTTCTAATGAAAACTTTTTCCGAGATAAATAACATCTCGGGGTATTTCTGTTCAACCCTATAATCGTGTCTCCCCCTTTGTTTTAATCAGTCTGAAATGATCTTTAAAAGTGAATTTCTTCACTTTAAAAAAACTTTCGGAGGTTCATTTAAACTAACGTTGATGCAGATATCCTACATTGAAGGCGCTTATGACAATCATATATTTTTCTATTAAAACTTCATTTTTGTTTTACAAATCGCATAAGCAAGAAATTGTTCGAATAACGTACTTTGGCAAAACGTTAAACTTTAAATTGCCACTCTCCTCCCTGGTGTTGAATGGATACCTGGTATGATGCTAAATTCGTTATAGTTTGTTCAGCATTGTGAGCGTTTGTAAAATGGCGCCTGGCTGTTATGCTCCCTAGGGAGTGGAGAATGTGAATACAGTGTACATTGAGTGCGGCAAATCCGAATCCGATGACCTAGCGCTTCAAAACACCGTCTATTAATTATGCGCTATATAAATGCAGAATATTATTTTTTTTTCATTACAACCATGCCTCTTTAATGAAAGTCATTGCCTTAGTGCTCTATATGATTTTTGATTGTTTACTCAATCTATATTACTGAATAAATTACAATCTGTTCTGTTCCGTTCCTGCGCTATTATTCACAATAACCTGCTCTGTTCAATTTTGCTCTTAGTCATAAAGGCCTACCTATTTTTGTTTAAATAAAATGAGTGAAATTGTAAAAAGTATGAAAACTATTTTGTAATTTTTGTTGTTGTTAAAGCATTTCTCACAAGTTTTGTGTATGCATGTGACAAATGTAGAAAACATATTTGAGTATAATAGGCATATAGGGAAAAGAGACCAAGAGAGGGACAAGAGGGAAAGAGGGAAAGAGAGAGAGAGAGAGAGAGAGAGAGAGAGAGAGAGAGAGAAAGATGGAGAGAGAGATAGGAAGAGATAAAGAGAGGGGGAGGGAGAGGGAGGGAGAACGAAGGAGATAGAGAGAGAGAGAGAGAGGGGATGCGGAGGGGGCATGACTGTAAGAAAGATCGTAACATCAATTAATAAATTAACAACTTTCAGGATGCTCAATTAAAAGAGAAAAAGAGTACTCCCTCCCCCCCCAAAAAAAAAATATTTTAATCAGATGTAATTTACTTGTTTTAATCACATAAGGTACTATTTGTTATTTCCTATAAGAGAGTGGCCTAATAGAAAGACGGAATAGTAATAAGTTTACGTTAGGATATGGAAAAATTACTCTCAAAGTTTCCAAGACAAGGTTTCTTTGTGAATTAAAAAACAAAATCAAAATAACTTGTTTATATGAAAACGCGGGAAAGAACTTGACTCCAATCAAAACAAACCTGAACAATCTGTACAGTGCCCTCTCACGATTCGTGAAGGTGCATGCATTGTTCGTCGTTCCTCCTCAATAAGAATTTGTATTGTTGAAGACATTGGTCGTGCGTGTGCGAGGGAGGAGTCGAAGTGCTCCCATTTCATTACTTTTCTATTCAATAAGTTGTATCTACCACATCTCCCAAACTGGCTGAACGGAGAATAAGCAGCCCAGACGGATTACTAATCCTTCAAGTTCCGAAAGATCAGAGGAACTTATCGGGCAGGCGTGCTTCTTCGCCAGAACAACAAGAGCAAATTATTATGAGTGGCAAGGCCAAGGAAAGGAACGAAGACGTCGAATTGATGGCGGAGTCGAGCTTCGTAAACCAGAAGAAGCCACGCATCTCGGCCATCCCTGCCGATGGCCGGGCAGAGATCATCGGGGGTAAGTCCCCCGAAACTTATTTCTAGCGACTTTTTCAAAATAGAACTATTTGGAGATGTTTAGAGTGGGAAATATGACTTGCTATCTGTAAAAGCAAGCTAAAAGAAGGGATCAAATATGAGTGGAGTGTGGGAAAAAAGGGTTATGATGGTGGTGGTGGTGGTGTTGTTGTTGTGGGGGGGGGGGTAGGGGTGTGGTTAGCCACAAGTTTGGATGAGGGGATTCTCTGTTCCCCCTTTTTAGAGAAAATAGCAAAAGTAACATCTGAGTTTTTATACCAGTGTATTCTACTGCAGTAGTAGTAATGTAGGAGTACTAGTAGAAATGCCTTGATTATTGTTTTGTATGGTTTTGTTTTGGACAATTCAAGTTTAGTATCTTTACAAATGTTTGGCTTATGCCTATGGCATCCTTCTACTAGGGGCAGACTCTTTCGATTTTCAGAGCTAGAAAAACAACCGTTTATCATTAGACCTACACGGATGCACAAAAGTGGTTGGGGCAACAGGGCATATTATACCAGTTTACTCATATATATTTTATAACAACAAGATGAAGGACATGAGTTGGAGGTGTCATTTTTCTGGTCCTCGGTCTCCATATCTCCCATGCTTCTTATGTGCAAATAAAACAAAAATAATATTGAGCGGGAAAGAGAGAGAGAGAGAGAGAGAGAGAGAAAGAAATAAAGAGAGAAGAGAAAGAGAGGGATAGAGAAAGGGAGAGAGAGAGAAAAAAAAAACTTGGTTCTCATTCAACTCTGTGACTATCATAATGTACATACTCTCATTGAGGCATCTGATTTTTAGTGTTATTCACAGGAATCAAGATCAAGCTTCAAATGTATTTTGTCATAGCAACTACTTTGTGACCTCCAATGTTCTTCTTGCACTCTAGGCAATGCAATGCAAATTCTCCGATTTCTAACTTGATTGGCCCATATCAAGGATTATTAAGAACTATATTGAAATAAGAATTACATTAGCAATAGCAATTATGTTTTGATTGACTACTACCCTTACAGAAACTTAAGCTTGCGGCAAGCTTGTTACAAGCTTGTTAGAAGCTTGCGGCAAGCTTAATAAGATTGCATTACAAATTTAAGCTTGCAAAACTTGCGCGCAATCTTACAGCAATCTTGCTGCAAGCTTGCAGGCAAAGAGAGATATTCATGCAAGCTTGCTGCAAGCTTGCAGGCCAAGAAGATATCCCTGCAAGCTTGCAGGGGTGCAATCTAAAGCCCTTGCAATCTTACAGGCCGACAGTGTATGCCCTGCAAGCTTGCAGCAAGCTTGCGGACATTGCAGGGGCGCAAACTAAAGCTCTTGCAAGCTTGCAGACAAAGAGGATATCCCTGCAAGCTTGCAGGAGCGCAATCTAAAGCCCTGGCAATCTTACAGGCCGACAGTGTATGCCCTGCAAGCTTGCAGCAAACTTGCGGACATTGCAGGGGCGCAAACTAAAGCTCTTGCAAGCTTGCAGACAAAGAGGATATCCCTGCAAGCTTGCAGGGGCGCAATCTAAAGCCCTGGCAATCTTACAGGCCGACAGTGTATGCCCTGCAAGCTTGCAGCAAGCTTGCGGACATTGCAGGGGCGCAAACTAAAGCTCTTGCAAGCTTGCAGACAAAGAGGATATCCCTGCAAGCTTGCAGGAGCGCAATCTAAAGCCCTGGCAATCTTGCAGGCCGACAGTGTATGCCCTGCAAGCTTGCAGCAAGCTTGCGGAGCTTGCTGGGTGCAATCTAAAGCCCTGCCAAGCTTGCCGCAAACTTATGTCAGACTGCTATGGACAAACCCCATCTATGACCAAATTATTGTCACTGTAAACATACAGCACAAAAGTTTATATGCACAATTAAATTGTTCAATAATTATCTCAAAACCTTTGATTCTTTGCTAATGAGGTATAAAATAGGGGATCTTTATACACATATAATAATAATAGTACAGTTCTTGTAGCGCATTATACCTTTGAAAAAGGTTTAAAGATGGATGATCATAAAACAAACATTAAATATCGCATCATGACTCACTTTTCACTGTACAAAAAAGTACACCATCCAACACTCTAAAAATGATTTCCTTTTTCACTGTGATTTACGAGAGACCAGGCAAGAGTCAACAAAAATGGTTGAAACGAAATATATAATTTAAATGAGCGTTTAATCAAACCTTGCTAAAATCTAGCCGGAAAACGATTTGATTAAAAAACTATATTCTTAAACAAAAGCAAAACTAATAGTCCAATAGCCTGCTTGAATTTCTTTAATTGACAAAAAAGACCAAGTGTTTGGTTTTAATTTTTGGATAAAACATCCTAAGACATGTCTGAAAAGTGATGTCTTGTGTGTTGTGGGTGGTGGAGCCTGATTTCAGAGGTCAATGACCTTTATTTGACCCTGATTT